GGAAGGGAGCCCCCCCCCCCCCCAACTCCTGTGTAGAGAGAGGTACAGGTTGGTGCATCAGGGCTCATGCAAAAGGAGAAGATGGAAGCTGTGTTGTGTTTTTAAAATGGGAGGTGCTATCGGTGCCTTCTCGTCCGTTTGTTCTTCCCACTTGGACCACAACTCTCTCCGCCAGGAGCACACGCTCCCTTCCAGGGGGCTGCTGCGGAACTGGAGCCAACACGGGTGCCGAAGGCCACCCTCTCAGGAGAGGCCGGGAGGGGCCCAGGGCCCGCCTGCCACTCAGCTGTGTCAGAGTGGAAGCCGGGAGGTGCCTGCTAGAGGGAAGGAATCAGGGAAATGGCGAGGGGGCCGCTTCTTGGATGGGGCGCAGCTCCTTGCTGAGAGGGAGAATGGCTGGTATTTAAAAATAACAGAGGCTCCCAGCAGGTCCATCCACCTCGGGCCACCCACCCCTCCGCCTGCCTGCTTGCTCCGTGCGCCCTGGTTCCGAGGCACGAAGCCCACAGCCCAGGAGGGGCTCAAAGACAGGCAAGCACTGGCCTCCAGTCCTTTCTGAGAGAACAGATCGCTCCCCGGTTTCCTGGTGACAGCTGGCGCGGGGCCAGGCAGACTCCCACTAACCAATGGGAGGGGTTCGTTCCAAGGCCTCACTCTCACCCAGCATTTAGCCAACCCTGTGCTAGACCTGCCTGCCTGCTGGTGCGCACCTGGCCTGGATTTCCGTGGGAAAGGGAGGGGCTGTGCCCAGTGGTGACATGCCAGCCCCGGGCCCTCCTGCTCACAGGGCCCCTGCCCAGGCCTCTCTGAGCTCCGCCGCCTTGACATGTGATCAGCCCCAGGAGGCCCCCAGGCTGCGGTGGGTGGCAGTGGGCAGCCCCCCCCTCTGGTGAGGAGTTAATCCCTTCCCACTGCAGAAAGAAAGCCCTTTTCATTTCCGAAGGTGGGTCGTCTTTCCTCCTGGGAGAATGAATGGAACCTGAGGGGCCCTGGAAGGAAGGCTTTCCCCGGGCGAATAATGGGGCTGCAGGGAAGGCTCCCCAGGGGAAGCCACCACGAGGCCTAGGACAGCCACCGGCATCCTGTCCACCCTCACCCCCCACCGCACCCCCACGATGCCCGGCTGACGGGTGCTTTCTCCTCTGGAGCCTGTGTCTAGGATTCTAGGAAGGAGGCCCAAGAGCAGCGGCCGCCTGGCCTGGACCTAAAGCTCAACAAGGCCGAGGAGCCTCATCCCCCGGCCCGGGAAGGCGGGGTAGAGGTGACCCCACCGGCCTGTGCAGCGCCCCACGCTGACAGAGCAGGTTTGCACAGAGCATCGCCATCCCTGGGGAGGGCAGGGCGGGCCTTCCGTCCTCGCTCTGCACTGGGGAATGCCGGGGTCCAGCAGGCCGAGTGCCCTCCCCGGAGTCCCCAGGGAGGACAACCATGGGGATTCAGACTCTGATCCTGACGCCCCCTCCAGGGCCTCCCACACACGGTGCTTCGAGGGCCCCGTGATGGGCAAGGGTGTGTGTTGGGTGGGGGTGGCGGGGCGATGGGTGCAGCCCAGCTGCTGGGCACCTGCAGGGGGATGGGGACGGAGTCACAGTCTCACTGATGCCGGAGCTGGGAGAGACCTGGCACGGGGAGCCCAGCGCCCCAACAGGCAGATGTGGAAACCAAAGTCTGGAGAAGTCGAGGGCTTCTCCCACCCGGTGGCCGCCCAGTCCAATAGCGGCCTCGCCTCGTGTGGCCTCTCAGGGCTGTCCCCGTCCCTGCCTCTGCGAGCTCAGCTACGCTTAGCAGATGTCACGCAAGGTCTGCGGGGCCCAGGGGGCGGGAAGGACAATTAGCTGCAAGGCTTGGTGCTCACTGCGGGGAGCACGCTGGGCCGTCCGGCGGCGGTGGAGGGTAGGAAGGGGGTCAGCCCCATGGTCAGCTTCACCCGGCCGTTTTTGGGGGGGATGGAAGGGGGGGACTGTGAAGAGACCATCAACTGTCAGGAACCAGGACCTATCCCTACCTTGGAAAAGGAAACACCAGCGTGAGAAACCATTGCGGATTTCACATCTGCCTCTGTGTGTGCACAGAGGTGCACGCTGGTCTGTGCGCGAGCAGCCGGCCCCACACCCTGACAGAAAGGCCCCTCTTGCCCCGAAGAAGATCTCTCGTTCGTTCGGAGGGTGGGGGAGGGGGACGGGCAGAGGCAGGTACTCACCATGATGCCGGTGAGAAGACACACACCTTTGCCACAGTATGTGTGGGGCACCATGTCCCCATAACCAATGGAAAGGAATGTGATGGAGATGAGCCACATGGCACCCAGAAAGTTACTAGTTACGTCCTGCTGGTCATGGTACCTGCCAAGGGGAAGACAGGAGTTAGTGGAAGGAACCGCCACGTCCGAGAGCACGGGCTGCGGGCAGATCCTGGCGGGGACGGAGACCCTTTGCTGAGGCGGGAGCAGCAGCGATGGCGCCAGGGAGATCTCTTTAGGCGACTGAAGGTGCCAGGACTCTGCCCACCCGGGTCCTGCCGGCAGCTCCCGCTCCCCCCGCCCCCACATGCTTGTCCCAGAGGTAAATGCGGGGCCACGGCTCGCACCAGATTGTCGGCGTCCCTTGGGTGCTGGTAAAATAGCTTTGGATGAAATCATGAGGTAATAAAATTTAGATTTTCCCCTTTCAACCGACAGTCTAAATGCATGTGGATGTGATTAATTTGAAAGCACAGGCTCCTGAACAGGAAAAATGTTAAAAAAAAAAATCGTCAAACATATTTAGCAATTTCCTGAAGGTTGATGGATCCCCAAGACTGGCACCTCCCGGCGCCTGGAGGGGGGCCCTGGTGGGTTCTCAAGAGCTGTTTCCCGGGGTGCTGGGCTCTCTCCGAGGGGTGTCTATACCTCCGGGGCCTCATGGCTGCCCCGCCCGGAAGGAGCCAACTGGAAACATGTCGCACCATCCCCTCTGCCCAGTGCCCTGTCCACCCATCCTTTTCCTCCCTCCCTCCCTCCCTCCACCCCAAACTCCAAGGCCCCCTGCTGTCCGGCTCTGTGCCAAGTGCTGAAATACAGAGTCCACAGGACCCGCCCTCTGCCTCAGGGCTCTCAGCCCAGGGGAGGGGCCTGTGGAAAATGCAGACATTTGCAGGAAGGTCCTATGTGAGTAGACGAGGCCCCTGGAGACGGGAGGGAAAGGCCAGTGACCTCGGTCCCAAACGCAGGAGGGTTAGTCAGAGGCTTCCGTCCCGGCAGGCCAGGGAGGGTTCCAGGCGGACAGAGGGCCTTCGGAAAGCCCAGGGGCTGACTGGAGTGCGGGGCTGGCTGCACCAGGGGCGCCAGGGCAGGCAGACGTGGGTCCTTTCGCAAAATGTTCTCCAACAGGATCCGCCTGAATGACACACAGGGGCCCTGCATTTTGTCCTGCAGGGACATCGCTCCTCGATAAAATTTCCCCACCAGTTTCTGGGTGGCCACCGGATGGGAGTCCACACCAACCCGGGTGGATGGAGTGGAAAGCCACTCAGGAACTCGGATCCGCAGACGGAGTTACTAAGGCGCACACATGGGTCAATGCACGGGATGGGGTCCGGCGGCGAAGGGAGGCCTCCAGAGAGTGTGAGCTACTATGGCCCGTGTTCTCCCTGCCCCCGCAGGGCCTGGGGCCAGGTGGGTCATCGGCAAATGTTGCTTTTCCTCCCTCTCCCCCAGGTCGGGTGCGCAGGGCAGGCTTCGGGTCCGGGTGCATCTGCAGGTGGCCGGGAGGAGGCCGAGCTCTGCTGGTCAGAAGGAAGATGGTGGGCACGTGAGCCGGGGACCCAAAGGGACAGAGTGACCGACACCATTTATCAACTCCTCCTGCCCTAGTGGGAGTCAGGCGGCACAGCCTACCATGCGACTGGCACTTGGTATACAAACACTCCAATTCTCACCACATCCTGTAAAATATTTCCTAAAAATAGGTTTTTACTGATTTCAGAGAGAGGAAGGGAGAGGGAGGGAAACATCAGTGATGAGAGAGAATCATCGACTAGCTGCCTCCTGCACGCCCCCTACTGGGGATTGAGCCTGCAACCCGGGCATGTGACCTGACTGGGACTCCAACGTGACCTCCTGGCTCACAGGTCGATGCTCATCCACCGAGCCACACCGGCGGGGCCTGTGTATTTTCACGGGTAAGTAACTGGGAGCACAGAAACACTGGGTGACTTGCCCGAGGACACACAGGAAGTGACCAAAGCGAAGCCCCTGCTCTTTGCCCCTCTCCCCCCAGCAGGAGAGAGGCGGAAGCAGCTGCTGTGCGCCCTGGGGGATGGTGAGGAGGTTTTAGCAAGAAGAGAGCACCTGGGTGCCCGTTGCAGGCGATGAGGTGGCTTTGGAGACCAGGGTCCGCATTTGGAAGGCCTTGAATTCCAGGCTGAGAGGTTTGGATTTTGTCTTAGAGATTTGGTTCCTGAGCAGATGAGTGACCAAATGACATGGCCTGCTGGGGAGAGCGGTCTGCGGGTGGTGAGCAGGATGTTTAAAAAGGTGGGACACAGAGGTGGGGTAGCCAGGGCAAAGCAGGTGCAGCCTTCCTCGCCCCCCAGTGAGAGCATCAGTGGGCGGTTCAGCCCTAACTTGAGTCCAGCCCCGGCCCCAGAGAGCGGTGGCATTAGCCTTTCCAGGGCTGTCCTCACAGGGCATGCAAGCCTGGAACCCCAGCGACCTCTGAAGAGCAGACATCCCCTCCCCAAAGCTCACTGGTGACACCCCTTACCTGCCCTCTCCCACCTGCTCCACTCACTGCCCACGAGGTTCTACGGCGACCCTGAGGGCACCCTGCTGCTGCTCCTGCCAGCTGCCTCATTTCCCCGGGATGGGGCCTGTCCCTACTCATCTGGTCACACTGGAGCAATGTAGACAGTGTGATATATTTTTATTGATTTCAGAGAGGAATAGAGAGGGAGAGAGAGATACAAGCATCAATGATGAGAGAGAGTCATTGATTGGCTGCCTCCTGCAGGCCCCACACTGGGGATTGAGCCCGCAACTGGGGCATGTGCCCTGACCAGGCATCGAACTGTGACCTCCTGGTTCATAGGTCTGATGCTCAACCACTGATCCACGCTGGCTGGCGGTACCTGACTCTGATCCCCAAGATGGAGTGCGCCCTTCCCCTGACTTAAGGTGCCAGCCCCATCCCAGCTCTGACGTGGTTTGGGAGGGGCAGCTGCCCTGCTCATCCCATTCCCCACAGCCCAGGGCTCTGCCAGGCCCTCAGGCCACCACAGTCCCCTCCACTCCCAGCATGCTCTGGGCTGGGAGGGATGGTGGCTGACCCTGGCTTGCAGGGCCTGTGCTGAGGTGTGAGGGGACATCCCTCCCTGGAGGGGTGGACTTTGGAGCCTGGGAGACCACCAGACTCAGTGACAGCCCAGTGTGGGGGCCCAGAAGCGGGGAGACTTAAAGACAGCTCCCTGCCACAAGCCAGCCGCACGCAAACACATGTTGCAGAGTCAGAGTCGGGCATCAGTTCATCAAATGCATTTCTTGGGAGAAGTCTTGGGTCAGAATGGGAGGTGGGGATGGTGGGTGGGGAGGAGGTGAGCAGCTGGTCTAGGGCTCGGCTCACCTGGCTTCAAGCCCCAGCTCCACCTTAAGTAATTCCATGGCTGTGGGCAAGGGACTTAACCTTTCTGAGACCGGTTTCCTTATCTGCTGATGGGAGGATTAAGGAAAATACTCCACAGTGGCCAGCCCAGAGGAAGTGCGCTAAATGTCAGCAGAGCTCAAAGTGGAATGAAGCATGCGGCAGCAAGTCATCTGTCTCTTTCTAAGGTTGATGTTTGATTTACTGCTTCATTTTTCTCTCAGTTCCCTTTATGTCCTTTTGGGTTTCTTTTTCGTTCACCATATAAAATCCGACTGGTGCTCACTATCTGTGCCGAGGAGAGAAGTAGATCCTGAGGATGTCACTCATTCAATGTAACACTTCACCAATCTGTCCTCGGGAGGGGGCTCTAGAGCAGTGGTCGCCAACTGCTGGTCCGCGGACCACTGGTGGTCCATGAGGTCTAAAAGATTGGCGACCGCTGCTCTAGTAGATGCCGAGATGAATCGGACACACACCCTACACTCCCGTGACGTGGGGCATTGTCATAGAGGTAAGACACACATGGAACTCACCAAGCAGGAAGTGATGAGTGAGAAAGCAGGCCTGGTGATTCATACTGTGGGAGTGGGGAGGAGGTAGAAATTATATCCAAACCTATTCACAATTTTAGAGTGGTTTACCCTTGTCACAAATTCACATACGAATTTCATGCTATTTTTTTACAATTGAGAATTTTTGGAGAAAATAGTTTCTTGTTTTTCATTAAGGGCTAAGAAGGAAAAGGCGTAGTTTTAATTTTTTGGGAGGGGGGTTGGTTATTATGCTTATTCATTTATCATTAGGGTGTAGACGATGGTTTTTCACTTTTTAATATTATAAAATAAATGTATGGTGGCATAAATATGACGGATTAAACACACATGCTGCTTTTGCCCCTTCTCAAATCCCTCTACAACTAACTGTGTGAGTTCCCTGCTTTTAAAAATCAGCAGAGACCCAGGAATCCCCAAACAGCTGAGTAAGGTCTCTAGCATACAAGACACAGGCCAAATCAGTCAATTAAACAAAGAAACAGATCTCTGGATCAAATGCAGATCATCCGCAGAGAACTCTTGAAAAAACCCTATAATTAACATCGTAAGAGAGATAAAACACGATATGGGACCCGTGAGACAAGCCTGGCATGCTATACCGAAAATTCTCCCTGAAGGGCTGGAGGATAAATTGAGGAAGGCTCCCAAAAGACAGAAAGAGACAGAAATGAAAATAGGAGAGAAAATAGAAAATTAGTCTACCAACTCAAATATTAGTGGCTTCAGAAAGAGAGAACCGGACAAAAAGGAGGAGGAAAAGGAGACAGAGAATGAAGAAGGAAAGAAGTAAATAAATAATATTTTTAAATTTCCCATAAACAAAGGACACAAGTTTCTAGATCAAGAGCCCACCATCCCTAGCAAAGTGGATGAAAATAGAGTCACACCAAGACACATTATTGTGAAATTTCAGAACACCAGGGAGAGGAGGTGATTCTATGGAGCTTCCAGGGAGAGGGAGGGAGGGAGGGAAGGAGGGGAGAGAGAGAGAGAGAGAGAGAGAGAGAGAGAGATATCAAATACCAAGAATCAGAAATCTGAGTGACTTTGGAATTTTTAAAGCAATACTGGAAGCTAGAGGGCCATGGAATAGCCTTCAAAATTCTGAAGAAAAATGATCTCCAAACAAGAATTCTAAACCATGGAGGCGGGAATCCCAAACCAGCCAAA